TGAAAATTAAGTTAAAAAAAATTGAAAGCAGTATCAGTACACCAAAACCACCTTAAAGCAAAGTCTGAATGTTAGTTTTTACAAAGTACTTCTGATTAGTTCTTAAACTTAACACGCACTCCCCTAACACGAAAGAAATGTTATCCGAATAAGTATTTGACGTATGTGAATATCCTTGCAATGATCTGACCCGAATTACAATAACGTCAGTATATATTTTATCTCAAACCTTTCAAGGATCCAAGTCCTTCCACACTGATACATCTTGTATACACAAATGATGTACTGGGCATCCTTTTTGTTATGACTAAAGTTGGCTTAACTTGTGGCACTAAGAATTCTAACTCTGTCTGGTTTTGCTTTCCTTGAGAGGTAAAAAGTTGCAGATGACAGATTTTTTAAGTGCAAGAACTATAACCTCATCTTCAACTGGATCCTCCCAAGTCTGCTTATCACCTCTTCTGACAGAAGAATCCTCAGCTTGTTTCTATCTGTACAATCATCAATTCCAGTATGTATTTTTTCTAAGTGTTCAATGTGTTCCTTTAATAGAAAAATCACTGGCAACAATTTCTAGTTTAAATGGAAAAATATGACATTATTCAGAAACGAACAATAACAAACAAATAAGTATATAAACAAAAATACTGGAAAAAAAACCAACTCACTTTCTCATCCTTGGCTAAAGCTGCTTTGGCTTGAGAGTCTCCTAACCCCCTTTAAGGAACATTTATTCCCTTTTTCACCCCACACATACTTGTCTGCAAAGATGTTTAATTCTGTACAGTTTCCATGTCTGAGTCCTCAGACAAATCTCTCTGCTTTAAAGCTTTAGAGACTCATTTGCCACCTTTTAAACAACATCTTGTAATGCTACACAGACAAAACCACTACAATTTCTGTTAGATATACCACTTTTGAAAGTAAGTCCTTGAGTACCACGGGCACTTGAATGCAGTGTTCAGAAACTGAGGGCGACAGGCTTGCTGGAGTGCAAAAGCTTTGTAAAGATGTCAAAAAACTTCCCACTGATAAATGGGAGCAAGAGAGGGGAATGGCTCCGGGCCCTCGCAGGCATGCTGCGGGCACTGCAGGCTCTTCTTGTCAGATGTGAGAATTGAGTGAGCATAACAATTTAGGAAGCTTATTAACGGTTCAGTGAGCAAAAGCAGTTGATGCACACACAGCAGAGTTCCAAGTTACAAGCCAATTAAAAGCTTCACATTATCCCACCACCTCACTGAAAGCAATACAAAGGAACATGGTCAACTTTGCAAGATCTGCCGCCTCTTTACAAGTAAGACCAGATCAAAACTAAGAAAACAAAAAAAATACACAACAGAAGAGCTCATGTAGTCACAAGTCCTGCAGCCATCATTCTGACACAAAAGGATGCCCCTGAGCACCTGTATGCAAAACATACACTGTTTCTACATGGTGAATATTGTGATTACCTTAATGTAGCTAATTTGGGGTGAGCCTATACACAGTCCCTTAAAAAGAAAATCACCTCTTTGCTAAAGAATGTTTTCATAGCACTAAGTAATCAATTTTTGCAGTAAGTAGTACAAAGCTCTCATTATATACGATTATAGCAGAAGAGATCATGCTACTGCTTCTACACTACAAATTCAGTAACAAATAACTGTCTAACGTATTCAGGACATTATTTGCCTATGGCAATAAGGCAAACAAAACCATGTAGTTTAAGTAAGTAGTGATAATCAGCATAGCGTACATATCTGGTCAGAACCATAGTAGGATGAGAAGCAACTGTACTGTTTTCATTTCAAGAGGATCCAAGCCAGAAGAGGGGAACTGGGCCTGCATACAGCAGTTGAGCAAGATGGTATTTTTTGATAACTGCCTTCTGGTGCTCAGAATCTAATTCCTGTACAAAAATACTCAATTTTTTCAAGTGGAAGGTATCTTCATAATTTTATATATATGCCTCAGTCAAGAGGCTTGAGGAAGTGTGGATCACACCTATTTGTCTCACAAGGTGTGGGATACTGATTTGGGCAACTGGAGCTTGCCTCAGACTTCATAATTATTATAATCTATTACAAGTTGGATCAAATTATGCAGTTAAAAAAAGCACAACAAAACCACCAAGAAATGTCCTTCAATTTTTCCATTATTCATTAAATCAGAAATAGGCAGCTCAACGTAAGGCATTCAAGCTGTTCATTTATTTGTAAATGACAAATGATACTCCTTCTCAGTATAACAGCTTTTCCTGGGGAGTCAATTTATTTAAAAGAAATTAAGACATTATCACACCAAGACATAATTATGGGATTTCATATGTAGTTGCAACCTGAAGCATTGCAGCTGCACTTCAAAACACAAAGATTACTTACTAATTATTACAATGTAGACCCTATCAGATTTGCTTCTGTGAGTGACAGGGGTTTATAGTATCACACAGCTATATGCCTTGGTCCTGCAATGTATATGTACAGCTAGATTCCCCCTAGTACAGCCAAAAAAGGCTCTGTGCAGGTACAGAAATCCATTAAGGCCACCTGCAAGGCTGTGTCATGAAGAGGACTGGCTTGCTGCCTATGGCAGCTAGAAATACCTCCACATTGCTGTAGCAATGCTCATGTTAAGATTGCCCCTGTGGAATGTATTCAGAAGATTTTACCCATTCAATTTAGTTTATCAGCAGCATGCATCTACACTACAAGGCTGCTTGGTACCCCAGATGTTCAAAAAACAGAACAAGACATCACAGTCCCTATAGCCAAAGTCCATGAATCTAACCCAGCTATGATTTAGCATTTCAATACCAAGATGATGAGTGTTCTATAGGTATCTGATATGGATTACTCACCCAGCATGTCTGTCACACACTCAAGTGTGGTATTTGAAAATACTAGGGTTTTTTTCTAATTACTTTTTAAGGCTTAGCAAGAAAATTTTCATCCTACTCACTGTACCAAAATAGCTTCAACTAGAAATATTTGGCCTCAGGAAAAGAATTACTAAATTGTGTGTGTGCGTAGGTACAATCCAGGAACTCCAGAGTATGCCTAACCAAAACAGCCCAAACCTACAGGCAGCAGATCCTATTTGGGGATTTCTACTTCATGTTTGCACACAGGCAGAGTGGATCACTGCCTACCCTGCAAAGGCGGCTGCACACCAGTCTGGCAAGGCTGAGATGAGTGGGAAGGACACCCTGCACAGTGGGAATGGAAGGAAACCAAAGGAATGCTTTGAAGGCAGGACACCCTGAGCAGCACACCCAGCCTCACAGCACTTCTGCTCCATTGCTTCTCCCATGCCATGATCAGCAAATCTAATACAAGGGTTTGGCAGATGAGGGCTGAAGCAGGCAGCTATGTCTGACATGTGGGAGGGAGGTGACAGCACAGCTCTTCAAAGGAAGAGGCAGGTGCTGACCTGCCTAAATTAGGGAATTTCACACCTAAACCACACAACCTGATGGGTCTGACTTGAGATTTTGTTTAATGCTTGAATTTATTCTAAATACAATACTATGCCTGAGCATGACAACTAGCTTATTTCAAACAACTACATCTGTTGTGGTATTTCAACTTTACCAATCTAATTGTATACCCTTGTTGAAGCACATCACTGGGTAAATCAAAATCAAGGGCTCAGATGGCTCTACAAAGGCAAGGAGGAAGAGCTTTTACTCAGGCCAACTGAGATCCATTTTATTTTACATGTTTATCTTATTTGTAAAGACAATGCTAGTGATGTTTGAGAACACTGAGGAGCAAGATAAAGCATACAGCTGCATCCGCTGTCATCTGCACACAAAATCCAGACCAAGCTAAATATTTTGGCATATGGAAACTCGAGAAGAAAGAGCATCACTTTGATAGTCTCTAGGGGCAAAAAAAGGCTTTTAAAAAGAAAAACATAAGCAAATAGTGTATGTAGGAAGACAAAGTTAAGGTATTATGAAGGTTTAACTACATGCTCTTAAAATTCTAGTTTTTATTCTCTGCAATCGCTCAAGACCTAGTTCAGAACACTTTACAAAGCCAGTCAATCTTCTAGAGTAATACAGTAAAAACTCCCTTAATGTGCACATCCCAGAGCCCTAGAGGGATTCAGAGCACTGTGCCCCTTCTTAAGGGTCAAAACTTCAGTTCTTTGACGTTGCTGTGCTTTTAAACGTGATGTTAACAGCAATTCTCCTGTAGATCAAAAAGGAAAAACTCAAAAAATAGTCTACAGCATCATGAAGTAAGCCAGGCTTATAACAGAGCAGACTGAACAGCTCTAGTCTAAGGTTAGTCAAAACAGGAATAAGAGTCAAGCTCAAGAAACCAGGGCTAGGCAGAGGCTTTCTCAGAGCTGTGTAACAATGTGATCCAGCACAAGGAGGGCACAAAGCACTGTTTGCTGGGATACGGCAAAGCAGGTAAGGGACCCCCACTTTCTCCTTGTCTTGCCTGAGCAGGCATTCACAAAACAAGCAAGAAACGCAGCCAGAAACGTCAGCATTTTAGGCTGTTTTCCAACCCCATCTAAGGGAGGGAAGAATTAGAAGCTAACTTCTAAATGTCACAGGAATATTTGAAGGAAAGTCAAAAAGTTCATTTAATAGACACACAAGATGTCACTAAAAAATTGCTTAATCATAGTTCAAAATTTAAAAAGAGCAAATAGATTTGCAGCACAGCATACTCTTGATTTGAACTTTAAAACAACAGAGCCAAGTGTGGAAATGACACGCTTGCTTTCCCTTGCAGAGACCAGTGGCACACAACTAGGAAATACTACAGCCTCATAGAGAGGAGCTGAAGATGTGGAGAATTTGAAGATGAAGAAAAACAAGCAAATATAATACTGTGATTGTATTCCTGAAGATGATAACCTGAAGACAGAGGTAGAAAAAGCATATTAGACCATGTACGCAAATTTACATGCAGTAAACAGGTGTGGGGAAAAATATCAGAAATGGAAAATGAAAATACTTAATGGTGTTAAGTCTTCAATGCACTAGCTCCACTTACCTTGGAACTTGATAAGAACTGGCCCGTTTACAGTAAAAACCATGGTGTTTGAATCCTATCAAACCTATGCCATGTTTGATTTATAGCCAACACAGCAAGACTAGATAACCTTCTAAAGCAAAAACTTCTGCCAAGAACTCTGACTTGCCTTTGGGAGCAGAGTTTTGTTGCAGTCATACCACCACCCAACTACTTACAAGGTCAATTGATAATCTAGAGGGCAAATTACATGCTTCTCTACTCCAACATCATCATCTTCAAAATCAAACAATTTCCTAGCTTCTGGAAAGCAGAAAGTAGCTTGTTTCTTATCTTGGTTAAAACACACAAGGATTTTAAAGGGCAAACTAAGTAGTCTCTTTGAGCATAAACCACTAAGAAATTATTTTGCTATGGAGGATTACATTTATATCTGATTAAAACAGAAAATACCGAATAAGAAAAAAAGAGAACAGTCTCTATATAATTAAATTTTCATTCTCAAAATTACTCCTAGTTTAACAGAGAATTGAAAATCTCTGCAAGCCTACACTATGATTATATATTTATGAAATGGGAACATTAATCTGTACTAGGAAAAAAGCACAAAATACACAGCAGACCTGTAGATTTTACAAGAGACCGTATGTTTGACAAAGTTTTCCTTGCTGCATATATTCTGCAGAAAGTTACATTTCAAACAGATTTGGCACTTCACAGTGCAAATAATGGCTAAAGGCATTTATAAATGGGTAACTTCTTCACACATGCCGAATTCTGGACAGAGTTGAAGGTTTTAAAATTATTTTAAATCATTATCAATAATTCTAACAAAGCCGATACAATTACTTCCTAAATATTATGTATAACTTATTTTTAGACAGAAACTCTATCACAAACTCTTGAATATTGACTTTAAAAAAGGTTTAACTCACTTAGGTATATTGTGTAGAAAACCACAGATAACCAGCCTCTGAACAATCACTAGCACCACTCAGAACAAAAGACTGTTCACATCTGCAACAGTAGGGCAATAACAGTAACTCTGTGAAGACAGGATGAATGAAGCGCATGCAGAGGGTCCTGGCCAAGCCCACCCTGACAAGCAGCTTAGGTACTTTCCACGGATAAAGCTGTCACCCCCACATTTGATACACTGTACAGGTCCATCCTCCACAAACTGGCCCTCTTCCAAGATTGCCTTTGCCAGTGTTATTAGGTAATTCAGAACACCTCATTGTTTATACTTGCCTCCCACAGACATTACTCCCCACACACATTTGTACCGACGGATGCTGAATTTTATCTGCTCAGTCAGTCAGGACTAATTTTTCTAATAAACTTTAGTAACTGACTACTCTTCATGTGACTATCTGTAATACGTTATCAACAGAAAACCCCACCTCAGTACTCACAAATTTTTCCACATCAGTTATGAATTTACCAGCAAGTAAAGAGCTTTCAAGATGTTTAGGGTCTTTGATGAAGGTACCTACAAACACCTTTTAGAAAACCCAAGCACACTCCTTCTTCTGGATCACTCTACCCTGCATACTTGCTGACCTCTTGCAAGAAGTTCAACTGTTTTTCATGATCCATGTTCTTACAAAAGCACACAGGCTCTTCCCAGTATATCATATTTTGTTTACTCAGTTTTATGCTTGGTAACTTTGCTTTGTCACTCTTCAGTTCTCTACATCTTTTAAGTCTTTGTATTGAGGCTGACTTCCTCTGCATCAAATACAATTGAAGCAATAAATTAAACTATATTCCATTGTCAGAAAGCCTTGGACTAGAAACACCTCTTAAGCTCCTCCATGCAGAGTACTGATGCAAATAATTTAGCTTCCATGATACAGCCTTATGTTTCTTGACTGTTCCTTTCACACACGGACCCTTTAGCAACCTGCCACAAAGTCTGGCAGGGTCTGTGTGACGGGGTGGCGTGTTTACTATCCTTTTTATGCCTCTACTAGTTTTCTCCCAAAAATATTTGTCTTGTAATATTATTATTATTTAGTATTTAACTTTCCAGAGATGATGCTCTCTTCCATGTTCTCATGACTACCTGCAATTTAGCAATAAAAATACCCTATGTGGATCAGCAAGTTTTATAATGAAAACAAAACTCAGAACAAAAGCCTTGAAGGCTTCATGATATTTAGAGGGTTGTTGTTTTGGTTTTGTTTTTTTTTCCAAACCTAGTCCTAAATGCTTTGCTGAATGTCACAAGAATCCATGTATATGCATTTACCTTACACAGACCTTTCTAAAACAGGGACGTGCAACTCCCATAGTAACATCCTCCCCACATTTCCAATTACTGTATTGCCAAAAGCTAAAACACAATAAAAACACTATCTGCTTAAGTAACATGTGTTGTAGCCACAGTGGACAAAGGTTATTGTGACATACAGTATATATGGAGCAGTAATACTATTTATGATTAAAACAAGCTTCTGTTTCAGAGCCACAGACGTGTGCTGCAAATTTTTTTAGGACACATCAATATATCTATTAATAGTACCTATGAAATTTGCCTGCCTTTTTAAATAAAGACATTTAAATAAAGTGGTAAGTAGTTTGAATGATAACCATCAACTCAGTGATGCCAAACCAACAGCCTCCTGGCCACATGCTGCCCATCACACAAGTCACACAAATCACAAGTGGTGTTCCCTTGCCTAGGTGGAGCATCTTGAGTCACACACCAGGGAAAGCTCACTGAGGAAGACAGCAGCTCAAAACAAACTGCCGCCACTGGTAAAGTCTCACTAACTACATCTTTATGAGTTAGTGAAAGGATTGAGAAAACCTCTGGCTGAGCAAAGGCTCCATGAATTGCTAGCCAGTAGCTACACACTACTACAGAGAGGAAAGTGCCAGAGCAGAATGGCACTTAACCTTTGAAAGGTGAAAGATAAACCTGACTTGTAAACAGCTCCCAGGCAGGCTGGCAGCAGGTTCAACCCAGTGTACGGGAGGGACCATAACCAGCCCTCCTGTGCCTCTCCAGCACGCCTGGAAGCCTGACCCACGTGGATTAAAGTGACTGCTACAGCTGTCACTGGCTTGCAGATTATTTTCTCAGGTACCCAGCTCTCCATTAGGGCAGCTACAGCACCTCCAACATACCAGGGAGGGCGAGATTCATCCTAACTTCAGTTGCCCAAGTAAACGGACACTCACCTCTGAGCTAGTAGCTCTCAGCTTCTCTCTCACTTTCTGCAGAGCTGCGTATCTTCTGGGACCCATCACCTCCTCCTGAGGAAGGAGTTTGTAAGTGCCTATTTCACTCTACTTAAAGGGAGCCCAAGACAACAAACACAGACAGATGTAGACGAATTCCTACAGAGCACCTAACTGTGCACAGTAATATAATTTGTGTACTCTTCTGCCAGGAAGACATCAGGGTGCCTACAGGGAACAGGAGGATTTTCTACAGGTGTTTTCAAAATACCACCTGTCTTCATTTGCCTGCTTACTAACAGCTGAAAAATGACAGCACAGAGGTAATTGCAATGCAGGCAGTTTTTATTTAAAATGTTGGAGGGAGGATTGTCTCAAAACTCCACATTTTTATTGGTAACAAAGGAAGAACATTAGGCAGCAGAATACAGATCCCTTCAGGGAAGGGACATTTAGTGAATTTCCGACTAAGGATCAAAAGCTTCTAGAAGAACACAGTAAAATCAGTGTTTCTAACAGATCAGACTATCTAAAGCTCGTATTTTTCAGTTTCATTATATATGACTGTATCCTGCACCATCAGCCTTTGGGTTCCTGAATGAAGCCAGCACTCCTTCACTGTCAGAGGAACACACCTTCAGGGAATGAAACAACAGAAGAGCTAAGCTTTGAGAAGAATGCAAAAAAAACACACCAGCTAAAGCATCTTAGCAAAGGAACTAAAATAGAATCATAGAATAGCTAGGGTTGGAAAGGACAGGCACATAATATCTCCTAAAGAGATGAAACACAGCCTCACAACCTATTTCATCAAAATTGAAACATTCAAGAAGTAGAATGCCCAAAATAGATGAAGAGAACCTTGTTCTTCATATAACACTGACAAATCTGCACTTTGCCTGTGACAAACCTGCGTAAACGCTCATTAGCAGGTATCATTTCCCAGGAAAGAGTCTATTATTTCCAACAAATTAACACAGTAATAGTAGCAGCTTTCCAAGATACACTTTCAGGTTCACCACCTGCTCAAGCTGAATGCTCAGAGCAGCATGAAATAGACAGCAATTGTGCCCTGTTAACCTCAGGGATAAGAAAGAAACCCGAGGAGAGCTTGGAGTTTTCATAGTCTAATGAAAGCACAGCACAAGCGATGCTTGGAAAAGGTCACCAGGAAACAACAGCAGTGCCGTAATACTAACATAAAATGCCTGACCTTTATTTCATCTTAATCCCATTACTCTTTTTCCCCTGTCATGAAAATAAATCCCACTGAACCAAACGGATGTATTCTATCTTCTTCCTGTGACCATGTGTAAAAGAATTCTATGGAAAGTACAAGTAAATATGAGACACTTCCAAAGAATTCTTACAGATACATCTCTGTGCACAAGAACTGCAAAGGTTAAAGCTGTTACCAGAGGATGGCAAATATCAAACAGTAAGAATAAATAACCTTACTGAACTGCATTTTTTTTGTTTTGTTTACATTTTTGTTTACGGGATGAAAGATTCTCAAGTCAATCTATGTAGTAGATGTTCCGGTATACAGCCTCATGGATTGATTGTTTTTCCAGGATCATCTAACAGGAGCAGGATGCTCCTTTTAAAAAATTCTTTCATTAAAGCAGAGATCTGACTAAAGATAAAAATCAATCTGCAAACCTCTTGTGTTTCCACATTTGTAAATAAATCTGCAACAAAACCAGGAGGAAAATCAACGAGTTGCTCTAATACAATGGTGTCTCTTCACAGAATAACAATATATATGGGCCCTTTCTTTCATTAATGTCTGTCATTCTTTATTATGCACGGGTTTCCTCCATTTTAGCCATGTGTCTGGAATGCAAAATTCCCTTCTGTAAAATGAATATTAGC